ACTATCTCAGCCACCAATGTAGACTATTTTTGGTTTGAGGGTTTCAGATTTTGGATTTCCAACGAAGGGATGCTCAAGCTGTGCATTCTCTGTACCTTGGGGTTCACAAGACTACGGCGCTGCTCCACGATGCCCCATGGGGCGATGCCCATTGCCACCACATGTGTGCTGGGGTTGGTACTGGCTGTAGTGTGGTCCCTCACTGCTTCACCAACATGCCGGCCAACACCTGCATGGAGGCCACCTGTCATAATCCAGGCACCTGTATGGGAGAAAGAAAAGAAGTGGAAGCACATAGTTGTGGGATAGGTGCCATCTTTTACAGAATGATGAACGCACATAAGGCACAGGTTTGCAGCTTGGAAGTGTTCCTGGATTCATTGCTGAGCCTTGAACCCCAGGTCTCGGAGGTGGCCAGGGGAGCTTTTGTATAATTAAAACTTGTGCACCAGTTTTGGGAAGTCAGACTTGGCCACGGTAGTCCACGCTCTAATCACATCCTGAATAGACTACTGAAACATGATCTAGGTGGGGATGCCTTTGAAGACTGTTCGGAAACTCCAAATGGTCCAACGGGCAGCAGCCAGATTGCTCACTAGAGCTGGGTACAGCGAGAACACAACCTCCCTGTTACAGCAGCTCTACTGGCTGCCAGTCTGCTACCGAGCACATTCAAAGTGCTGGCTTTAGCCTATAAAGCCCTAAACCAGTGATTCTCAACCTGGGATCCCCAGTTGTTTTTGGCCTTCAACTCCCAGAAATCCTAACAGCTAGTAAACTGGCTAGGATTTCTGGGAGTTGTAGACCAAAAAGATCTGGGGACCCCAGGTTTAGAACAACTGCCCTAAACGTTTCTGGCCCAGCTTACCTGTCCAAACGTATCTCCCTCTATGAACCACCTCAGAGGCTAAGATCATCCAGGGAGGCCCTGCTCTCGGTCCTGCCTCCTTCGCAGGCACGACTAGTGGGGATGAGAGACAGGGCCTTCTCAGTGGTTGCCCCTTGTCTATAGAATGCCCTCCCCAACCAAATTAGATCAATGCCTTCTCTCTTGGCCTTCAGAAAAAAAAGCAAAAACATGGCTTTGGAACCAAGCATTTGGGCAATAAGCAGGACAGGAAACAATAACTGATTATGTGCAATTGTTATTTGATCCAGGAACAGCCTGGACCATGCTTTTGGATCATGTGATTTTAATGTTTATATTAATATGTTTTAATCCCTTGTCCTAATATCTAAATGTAGTTGCATTTTATGATTTAATTGATAGTTTTATGTTACTGTTGTTTTATGTTAGGTTTACATGCTTTGTATTGCATTGAATTTTGCCATGAATACGTTGGAAACTGCTTTGAGTCCCCCCAGGGTGAGAAAAGCAGTATATAAATGAAGTAAATAAATTAAAAAATTAATATGGAAATAAAACATTTTAATTTGACAGTTTCAAAAACTGGCTACTTCCTGAACCTCTTCTAATGAGGCTTGTTATTATAACCAATTGGTGGCTGATATATTTGCAATTTAAAAAATGACAATCATTTCACTTTGAGACACACCTATTGAACAAAGTGCTCCCTTACTACCCATACATAAACTGCTTATCTCACTAAGTACACAGAGAGGGACCAGCCCTGAAACACCCCTCTGTGTATTTCCCCTCCCCCCTCTCTACTGCAAACTTTAAAAAGCATACTATAGGCCCACTGAATGGATGTAAGTACTTTACAGACTATAAATCATCCATACCCATGCAGCAGGAACTAAATGTGCATTTTAGCAGGTGCACATTTCTAACTTTTACACAGTTGGAAACACACTTCATGCACATGCAACACACGGCTTCAAAAATAGAGACAACGAGAAGAAAAGCCGCACTTCTAGAAAGGAATCCACAGTATTTGTAATTCTTTCCAGCCATGCATGCAAGTTCACTTTGAAAGCATTATGTCCTCCACAAGACAAGCCTGCCTCCACTTGTGAAATTGTTTGGGTCACAAAAACATGTCCTTTCAAAAATATTTATTTATCTTCCAAATCTGGGACTCAAGGCTTCTTACAAGGTGGAGTAAAACCAGACGTTTTGGCCAGTATAGTGTAGTAGTTTGGGTGATGACTCTGGAGACCACGGTTAAAATTCCTGATCAGCTATGGAAATCCACCAGATGATCTTAGTCACATCACAGGGTGCATCTACACTGTAGAATTAAAATAGTTTGACATCACTTTAACTGTCATGGCTCAATGCTCTGGAATCATGGGCTTTTACAAGGTCGTTCGTTTTTTTGGCCAAAGAGTGCTGGTGTCTCATGATTCTACAAATCCTGGGATTCCATAGCACTGAGCTATGGCAGTTAAAGTGGTAACAAACTGCATGAATTCTACAATGTAGATGCACTGACAGTGTCTCAAGGCAAACCTCTTCTGAACAAACTTTGCCAAGGCTTGTGATAAGTCAAAATGGCCTTGAAAGAAAACAACAAACAACATAATTCACATTATATTATTAAATCACAATAAAACAAATGGTAACATGAAACTAACTAAAGCATTTGTACATGCATTAAAAACACAGATATAGATGCCAAAGCACACGTAACTTCCACAATATGCAATCACTTCAATGTGTGAAATTGTATGTCACAAAAGCACATCTTAACAAAAGCACTGGTGCATGCATAGAAACACCCATGGTGCAAACACCTCAAATAGCTTTTGATATTTTCTCTGTATACACACAGCACACAAAGTGGCAGCCAACACTCTCCCATCTTTTCCCTTCTTCCTCCTCCCTTACTTTATTTGCCTTCATAGCTGGATGACCTTGAGCTGCAGTAAACCAAGAAAGAATCCTGGTCAAACTGGAATCAAGCAAGTATAGATAGGGAGAAAAGAATTGCAGTTAGCCTTCCACATTTGTGGGTTTAACTTTTGTGGATTTGATGATTCACAGATTCGATGAATATGTTCTTTCTAGGAACCTCTAGGTCCTTAAGGACTGGAGTTGAATTGGAGGACCTAGAGATCCCTAGAGAGTAGGGATGTGCAGAATTCCATTTGGCAATTTGGAAAAATCTGGCACTCTGGCAGAACCCAGCCAAAGCCTTAACCAAAACGAATTACAGTGGCACACAATGGTTGGGTCTTCAATTCCCAGAACCCCCTCTTGTGAGCTTTTTAAAAAATGTTATGGTTAAAACTTTTTAAAAATCCCCAAAATCAGTGAATCAGTGAAACGTTCTGAAACTTGGCAGACTTGCAGTCGTAAACATGGCCTACAATTGAGCCAAGTTTAATCCTGAAGTTTCCCCGTTGACAAAAATAGATTAAATTTTATCAGAACAAAAACAACACCTCCCTCCACTGATTTTGGGAATTTCCCAGAAAACAGAATGGGGTGGAGGAGCCAAAAATGGAACCGAAAACGTTGTGCACGCCCCTACTGGAGTGTATCATTCCCCAATAGCTGAAAATCACCCAAACTGCTGTAGAAGTAAATGTAACTCACAGTTACTTCTATAACTATCAAATCATAAAAACTATGTAACAACAATGAAACATAAATCTGGACATGATGAGGTATCGCTTCCAGTCACACTTAGGACACAATTAAAGTGTACATGCGATGCAGAGGTAAAAAATGGTCCCTGCTCCAGTGAAGTTGCCTAATCCTGCTCTAAAGAAACAAGGAAGATAGTTGTACTCTCTTGGAAAAGAGCCTTGCTACAGACCATTCATCCTCTCTCATTCAATCTGTTTTATATGAAGTAGAACAGATTTGCACTGTAATGCATTGCCTGTCTCCTGATCTAAGCTTATTAAGCCAAGAATTCCCATGCATAAAATATTTTCATGAACTGCAATCAAGCCAGGCAACTGTGGCTACAAACTCTGGAGCAAACTAGGATAATAAACCACAGTTTAAGGTGTTTTAAAATCTTTACTTGTTCCAAACTGCTAGTTATGTTGTCCCAGTTCTCATAAAATAGGAAATCAAGATTACTGTAATTGCAGATGTCCTGGTTGGCTTGATTACTGTGTGGTACAAAAGGCGTGGAGAGGTTATGTTTGCCGGCAAAAGGTAATGCATATCTCAGTTCAATAAACCAAGATATGATCATTTGGCTGGGCAGTTCCAAATTTGTGTACACGGAAAAGCAACATGCACAAAGCAATATGCCTAAACCCAATTTGCATGTAAATTACTCCAGTTATCTACATCTTGTAGAAATGAATCCAGACTACTGCAATAAGAAATGTCAGAATCTTGATTGGGCTAAACCATATACATATATTCATTCATTTAGTTTGCATGCTGCAAGTCACTTCTGGTTGCTTCTGGAGTGAGAGAATCAGCCGTCTACGAAGACGTTGTCCAGGGGACGCCCGGATGTCTTGCAATCCCGTGTGGAGAGCTTCATCTATGCTGATGATCGTGCCATTACTGCTCAAGCAGGGAGCTTTGAGATGGTAGAACAGAAGCTCTCCGAAGCTCTAGGTGCCCTTACAGCCTACTACAGGGAAAACCAGCTGATCCCTAATCCATCTAAAACACAGACATGTGCTTTCAATCTCAAGAACAGATGAGCATCCCAAGCTCTGAGGATTACCTGGGAAGGAATCGCACTGGAGCATTGCAGCACACCCAAATACCTGGGAGTCACTCTGGACCGTGCTCTGACCTACAAGAAGCACTGCCTGAATATCAAGCAAAAAGTGGGTGCTAGAAACAATATCATACGAAAGCTGACTGGCACAACCTAGGGATCACAACCAGACACAGTGAAGACATCTGCCCTATGCGCTATGCTACTCTGCTGCTGAGTATGCATGCCCAGTGTGGAACACATCTCACCACACTAAAACAGTGGATGTGGCTCTTAATGAGACATGCCGCATTATCACGGGGTGTCTGCGCCCTACACCACTGGAGAAATTACACTGCTTAGCCGGTATTGCACCACCTGACATCCGCCGGGAAGTAGCAGCCAATAGTGAAAGAACCAAGGCAGAGGCATCTCCCACTCATCCCCTGTTTGGGTATCAGCCAGCACGTCAACGACTTATATCAAGACATAGTTTTAATGTTCATTTAAATATTTATTAAAATATGCATATATTCATTTGGCACAAACTAAAAAAAGAAGCACTGGAACCTCAGCTTCATTATCTGATCCACTGATGATTGATTTCAAAATCAAATTCCCATTTCAATCATCAGTGGATCAGATAATGCTTCCACTACCACCAGAAATAATCATAATATAATAATAAATCTTTATTTATATCCCGCTTTTCTCCCAAAGCAGCTCATAATATAATACAGTACAATACAAATCAAAGCGCATTTAACATAAAAAATAAAGACAAAAATCACACGAAGCATAATAACGCCTAGAAATAAGATGTAAATAAATATTAAGCATTAAAAACATTTTAAACCAATTACAATGATTGTAGAGACTCTTCAATTAAATAGTATAATTCGCTATGCTCAGTGCAAATTGACCTTGCTGTCATTAGCAATTGGATTAATTCATCAAAAGCTTGCTTGAACAGGTAAGTCTTCAACTGGCTCTTGAAAGATAACAAGGAAGAGACAGTTGTAATCTCAATGGGGAGGGAATTCCAAAGGGCTGAGGTGGGTAACAAGAAGGCCCTCTCTTTTCTAGACGCCAACCGTATTTGTGATAACAGTAGCAATGAGAGAAGGGTCTCTCCGGAAGATCTTAATGATTGGGCAGGTTGGTAAGAGGCAATGCAGTCAGATAAGTAAGTTGGGTCTGAACCGTTTAGGACTTTAAAGGTCAAAACCAGTACCTTGAATAGGGCTCAGAAACATATTGGAGCCACAGCCAGTATAGGTGCTGTAACAGGGAGTTGGTACACTCCTTGGGTCCAGCACCTGTCAATAACTTGGCTGCAGATCTTTGAACTAGTTGGAGTTTTTGGGCACTTTTCAAGGGCAGCCCCACATAGAACCCGTTACAGTAGTCTAAATGAGATGCAACTAAGATGTGGACCACCATGGCCAAGACTGGCTTCTCAAGGTATGGTTGCAGCTGGTGCACAAGTTTTAATTGTGCAAAGGCCCTCTTGGCTACCACCAACACCTAGGCCTCCAGGCTTAGTGATGAGTCCAGGAGGACATCCAGACTGCAGATATGTATTTTCAGGGGGAGTGTGACCCCATCCAGCACGGGTTGTGACCCTATACCCTGATCTGCCTTTTGACTGTCTTGTTTGGATTCAATTTCAATTTGTTCATTCTTATCCAGCCCACAACAGCTGACAGGCACCGGTTCAGGGTCTGAGTGGCTTCCTTGACTTTTTAGTGGAAAGGAGTAGTATAGTTAGGTGTCATCTGCATACTGATGGCACCAAACTCTCTCCCAGTGGCTTCATGTGGATGTTAAACAACATGGGGGACAATACTGAGCCCTGTGGGACCCCCCAGGACAACGGCCATGAGTAAAATAAGTAAAATTCTTGTCCATTGCATCTCTCAATACGACTTCATATAGAATTCATGGTTTTCACCATGATCATATAATATGTGTATTTTACAGTGTGGATTTTCAATCTGAGATTCTCAATAGTGATATTCGATCAAGCCAAGCTTAGTTTAGCCAATGGCAAGAGATGATGACAACTATGGTTCAATAACATCTGAAGGTCTAATCTTACTTTACATGATATTTTAGTCTGATGCATAATATAAAAGGTACTAGGGCATTAAGTGCAAAAGTCATTACAGTTGTTCAGATGTGCAGGCTGGCAGAACTAGGGGTCTTCCTGACACAAGGATAATATTTTGATGACATGAGAAATGCTCACATTGAAAGTGTGGATGCCTAGAATGAAAACAGGGCTGAGGGGTCTTGCCTTACCTGTGCTCTGGGCAGCTTTCACCAGTCCTTTTCTCAGCACATCCTTAAGCCAGGCCCTCACCCGCACCTCACCTTCACCGCCTACCACGGACACTACCAAGTTTGGGCGTGGGATTTTCCAGGTGTGTGTTACCAGGGCATAGGCAGCTGCAGGGTCAGATGTGTCTGACAGGCGAATGAACTGTAGTGGAGAGAACAGGTGATAGTTGGGACAGGGTCAAGAAGATAGTCCTCAGACCATGACTCACAGATTCCCCCAAATACCATTATAAGGTCACTCCAAAATATACAGTGCCTTCCCCCTTGCATTGTACATCAGCCTCTTTATTGCAAATACTTTGGTTTACAATTCCCACCATAATGAAGCCATAATTGATATCTCAAAAAGTTGTAGTCCAACATATCTGAAGATCACCTCATTGGGAAGGGCTGTTGCCAAACCAGTTGGTAATGTTGCCTTGACTGCAATACCTTTGTTGATGCATAACAGTCTTTTTCTTAATTTCCCCTTAACCTTACAATGGATTAATTTCGCTCTGTCTTTTGATAAAACTCACCTTGCTAGGCCTACGCCCAGCGCCTACAAACTCTACCTCACCATAGGCATCAGTGGGAACCTCTGTGGTGTGTTGGGCTGAGTCCCATTTGGTAACGATGGCTGCTCCAAAGGCATCTTCTGTGGCCACAGATCCATGGTTACTACGAGGACTTCCACACTGGCACAGACTGGGTGGAATATAAAATTGGTGAAAACATAGAGGAGAGATTTCATATGTCATGTTCATATTTTAATGCATAGATCGCTATGGAAATGGACTATGGACAAGCTTCTGATAGAGTCTCTGGTCATAGAAATTTGGCTTAGTTTAGGCCACCAGGCTGTAATGTTTAAACAGTATTTAAATTGAATTGATTTAATGTTTTATCTATTGTAATTATTGTATTTAATTATGTGTATATAGAGGCATTGAATCGTTGCCGGCTGTAAACCGCCCTGAGTCCGTCCCGTCCCCCCCACACGGGGGTTGAGAAGGGCAGGGTACAAACATTTGAAATAAAATAAAATAAAATAAAATAGATATCAGACAGCCCCATTTAAGGGTTTGGTTTTTTTCACTGCCACAAACTTGAAGTCCTCCAATTGGAGTAGAGAGCAACATAGTGTCTCCAGAAAGTGGATGAAGCAGAGCTGTGGAACACGCTGCCCATGCAGTAAGTTGTTTTCAGCACCACGACTGAATTATTGGGGACCAGTCATTTCCCACATAAATGTACTTGAATGGAAATGAAAAGAGTGTGGAGGATAATATGGGCACACCTTTACACATTTCACGGGTGAAAACTGGGACAGATATAGCCAAGCAACCTCAGAATATGGCCAAGAAGGCAAAAGATATTAAGGGGAAAGAATACACACACTAGGAGAGGTTGTAGCTGTTTGCTTTTGCCTGAGCCTACTCGGAATAATAATAATAATAATAATAATAATAATAATAATAATAATAATAATATACTGTCGAAGGCTTTCATGGCCAGAATCACTGGGTTGCTGTAACCTCATAACCTCTGAGGATGCCTGCCAGAGATGCAGGTGAAACGTCAGGAGAGAATGCTTCTGGAACATGGCCATCCAGCCCAAAAAACATACAACAACCCATAGTAATAATAATTCTTTATTTACATACCACCCTATCTTCCTTAGGGGACTTAGGGCTGTTTCCAACATATAAGGCAAAACATTCAATTGCCAAAAAGGAAAACCATACAGACAAATTAAAATCAACATCATAAAATCCTACTAAAGCACACATAAAAATTTAAAAAGTGTTTACACCTTCCTCCTCTACTTTTTTAGCAATTGAAATAAACTGATGAGAAAAGGGAAAAGTGGGAGGAGGAAGGGAAAGCTGGAAAATTCAAATTAGCTGGAAAAGTGGAATGACAGAATAAACCAAATTTCCAATTTGAAACAGTTTGATATAGAAACAGGAACACTGTCCATAAGAGTTCTAACCGTGTTAAACTGTCTATTTGTATCTGATAGTTTAATTTATTACAAATAATTCTGCAATCTATTGACATGGAGCAGTTTGTAAATTATATCCACATCTACATAGCTGCAGGGACAGGAGGCAATAAGGCAAAGGCGAAGGAAGAGGCTAAGTGACAATACTGAACATGCCTTGGGAGAACCCGGAACTTGTTGCTATGTGAATTTTGTGCAAAGAGGAGCAGGGTAGGCTTTACTCACCCTGGTTCACCTGGTTGCTCTATAAATGTTGTGCAGATTTTCTTCTTGAAGAGTTTGGGGATCCATGCCTGAGGAAAAACCGAAGAGTTAGGAATGAGAGGAAAAAACCTCTCGGGAAGCCTCATTATTTCAGGCGAACAGTTTTGACTAGCAGCCAAACAGAGGTAGTCCAATACCTGGTCTTTCTGGTTGGAATTGGCCATGGAATGGACCAGGGAGGCACTGCTAGTGCCACGTTGGAGCTGGAGTCTCCAGGTTGTTTCGCCGGTGCCTCTCTTGCCTAGAATAAGTCAGATATCATGCAACAGAGACACCTTTAAAATCCAACCCTCTGGCAGTCGCACCACACCCACTGCAGGAACTTGCTTAACTGGATAAGCGCCTCTGAGAGCAATACAGAGTTCATGTACAATAGATTTGGATCGGTTATTTCTGGGAAGACGTTTGATTATTTGGGTGGCAGTGGTGTAACGGTTACCCACACTAAGAAAATTCACTCCTTTTAAGTCCTTTTAAGCCAAATCGTCATATCCTTCCTCCTCACAGAGCCTCGCGTGTACGTACATCCTGCTTTGAATAAACAATAGAAAATGGTGATAAAGAGGCTAAGTTGTATTTCAGTCTACAGTTAGATTAAAAACTTGGCACTTTGATACACTCTTTCCCATCACTCTTCCATTGAACATCATAGTGTGTTAGGGAGAACTTTCCCACTGTGTGTGTGTGTGTGTGTTTGTGTATGAACTTGTATGCTAAGGAATAATGATATCGCTTTCCAAAGTTGGATCATTTTGCGAATTCTCCCAAAAGGTGTTGGAATGGCTTGGAGACAGATCAAACTGCTATCTACCAATTTGAGAGACTGAGGAAGTTTGCAAAAAGTTTTTAAAGGGGCTCATAAATGGTGTGTGTGTGTGTGTGTGTGTGTGTGAAAGGCTACAAATTACTTTGGGGTAATATACATATATATTAGTTATGGTTCTGTCCCTCCAGAATTATATCCTTCCTTTCCTCTGGTGACCATAAAGCAGTATATATGCCTGTTTAAGCACCACCTTGTTATGCAGATCAGGTTGTGAGAGAGTGAATTGTTATGTAATTTCACCTTCTGCAAGAACTGTGGGTTTGGCATGCGAAACTTTCCAGAAGCCCAGATGAGACACAGACGGGTTGAATCAGAGGTTTTATTCTCAATGGCCAAAGAGGATGTCAGGAGAGACTGTAATCTCACAGAATTGACATACTGCAATTACCAAAATACAGATTTATTTATAGCAGTGGTTCTCAACCTTCCTAATGCCGTGACCCCTTAATACAGTTCTTCATGTGGTGACCCCCAACCACAACATTCTTTTCATTTTTACTTCATAACTGTAATTTTGCTACTGGTGTGGATCTTGATGTAATTATCTGATATGCAGGATGTATTTTCATTCACTGGACCAAATTTGGCACAAATACACAATATGCACAAATTTGAATACTGGTGGGGTTGGGGGGGGGAGGGATTGGTTTTGTCATTTGAGAGTTGTAGTTGTTGGGATTTATAGTTCACCTACAACCAAAGAGCACTCTGAACTCCACAAATGATGGAACTAAACCAATCTTTGCACACAGAACTCCCATGACCAACAGAAAATACTGGTGGGCATTGGCCGTGAGTTTTGGAGTTGTAGTTCACCTACATCCAGAGAGCACGGTGGACTCAAATAATGATGGATCTGGACCAAACTTGGGACGTATATTCAATATGCCCAAATGTGAACACTGGCGGAGTTTGGGAAAATAGACCTTGACATTTGGGAGTTATAGTTGCTGGTATTTATAGTTCACCTACAATCAAAGAGCATTCTGAACCCCACCAGCAATAGAATTGGACCTAACTTTCCACACAGAATTCAGATAGCCAACAGAAAATACTGTATTTTCTGATGGTCTTTGGTGAACTCTCTGACACCCTCTCATGACCTCCCCCCCCCCCAGGGTCCCGACCCCCAGGTTGAGAAATGCTGATTTATAGTACTTCAACAGCTATTCCAATTTACCATCCTGGCTACTGATTGGTCCAAAAGTGGCCAGCTAGGATCAGCTCCTTGGTTGGTCTGGGGATCTGTCTTATGTCATCACTGGTTGGTTTCGGTTGTGGAATGAAACTTTAATAAACTGTCATTGGATTATTCTGAAGATTTGTGTCCATTTATTGATCCAATTGGGAAGGAATGTGATTGGGTTAGCATAATGAGCAGAAATGGGTTTTGATATTCCAGTTCTGGTTAATATAATGGCCAAGCCCATAGCCAGGATTTCGTTTCGGGGGGGGGGGGGGCTGAAAATTTTTGGGGGGTTTGGGGGGGGCTGAGTCTGAGTGAAAGAGGGTCTAGCCTAGCAAACCTTTTGTATCATTACCCCAATACCCCCATGCATATGGGATATATTGAGTATGGTGATCAGATCATGATATGAATAAACATAACAGTTTAAATAATGCACCAGTAAGGCCTTTTCGCGAACCACCATGAGAATTTCGGGGGGGGATGAAGCCCCCCCCCCCCCCCCCCCCCGGCTACATGCCTGATAATGGCTCTCAGTCAGGTAAATAAAAAGGGTGCTCAGGGAGGGGGTCCAATTTGGTGGCAGAGATGAGGAAACGTTTTCAGGAAAAAAAAACAGATCGTATTAAAAACAGGAAAGAGCCCACGGGCTTTTATGTAATCCCATTGTGACTCCCATATATCTTGTATTGTGAGGGGATTATGTTAACTAGGTGTTGCCATCCACTGAGGTCTGAGATGTGTATGCTGTGTGCAAGATTACTGGGGGATGGTGGTGGTGAGTGAAAATAACTCTAAAATGGGCAACAAAGTCTATGTGGGCACACTAACTCCATAAAGCTGCAGACTATGAGGTTCATCATTTTGGGTTTTTGACAACAGAATGTCCCGTAGTTAGTCAGTGAGTTTTATCGTACTAAATAATATGAACTTTTCCACTATGGAAATATAACTAGCTGTCCAATGTATATTCTGTTCTCAAAAATATTGCAGATTTAATACCAGCATTGGTGGAGAAGAGAGGTTGGTGGGATGAAGCAATTCATTTTTAGGATGCTTCTTTCTTTTTGTTTCCTGCTCCTTACCTTTTGCCACACACTGCTGTGACAATAGCTGGAAGAGAAACAGTTTTCTCTTACCATTGGCTGAACAGATGACTTGCAAGACAGGTGGGTAAATTAATCCAAGGGTTAATTGAAATTATGTTGTGGAGCAGCTGGCACACAAGTTTTTAATGTGTGAAGGCTCTCCCAGCCACCACCGATACCTAAGCTTCAAATGTCAGCGCTGAGTCCAGGAGGACCCCCAGACTGTGGGACTGTGTCCTCAGGAGGAGTGTAACCCCATCGAGCACAGGTTGTCACCTTATATCCCAATCAGCCTGATCAGGATGACATCAGTCTTGTCTGCTTCAGATTCAGTTTGTTAGCCCTCATCCAGCCTGCCACAGCTGTCTGGCACTGGTTCAGGACTTGGGGAGCTTCCTTGGATTGAGGTGGAAATGAGTAATAGAGTTGTCTGTCATCTGCGTACAGATAACACTGAACTCCAAAACTCCAGATGACCTCGCCCAGCAGTTTCATGTAAACATTGAAAAGCATGGGGGATAGAATAGAGCTTTGTGGGACATCACAGGCCAGTGGCCAGGGGTCTGAGCAGGTATCCCCCAGCACCACCATCTGCGTCCGGCCTTCCAGGAAGGAGTGGAGCCACTGCAACGCAGTGCCCTCAAGACCTATCCAAGAGAGCCAGTCCAGAAGGATACCATGGTCGATAGTATGAAAATCCACTGAGAGATCTAAGAGAACCAACACGGATACACTCCCCCTGTCTAGCTCTCTGTGGAGATCATCCACCAAGGTGACCAAAGGTGTCTTTGTTCTGTAGCCAGGCCAAAGGCCAGACTATGATGGGTCAAGATAATCAGTTTCATCCAAGAATCCTTGGAGTTGAGTGGCCACCAAGTATTACATATGAGATACTTTACTATAAAGGATCACATATGTAAAACAAAATTCAAACAGAGATATGTAATCAAGGCACCAGAATGGGCAAAGTTACAAACATAACATGTTTTCATGTAAGCACAACTTTGAGAGGCCAGAGTTCAAATCTGCACCCAGCCATGGAGACCCAATGGGTGACCTTGGGCAAGCCGCACTCTTTCACCCTTTGAGTAAGACAGGGATACATTTCCTTGAAATAAATGTTGCCAAGGAATTCCTAGGGTGGGGTCACTGTGAGTCAAAGCCAACTCAAAGGCACATTACAACAACAGAAATAATTTGTGTTACCAGATCAAATAACACAGGCCCTTGGGATTTTCCAGTTTCTCTCCAAGGTATTGTATATTTCCAGTCTCTCTCCAAGGTATTGTATATCACAAAAGTATATGATCCCCAAAGATGCCTTATGTTTGTGGGCTTTCTGAAATAATAATTACTTGTTTCTGAAATAATTATTATTTGTAACACTTGCTTGCATCTCACAGAGCAAGGTTTGAATATGTACAGTCCAGATATTTCTTTGAGCACCAGTAAATAGAAATGGCTTTGTGCCTTGTCTGGCAGGTGTCTGCTTAGCTGGTATTCTGTGATGATTTTCCTAACTGAGGAGTTTTCTAGTCTTGTTTCCTTATCTCTTTATGGTTTCTTATGTGTTTTAACCTCTTTATGACATATTTGTGTGTGCGTGTGTGTGCATGTTTGTGTGTGTTTGTGTGTTGGGGAGTTGTTTCATGTCCAATACATTTGGCTAAACTACTTGTTGCCTGGGCACAATTTGTCAGCTGCCAGATGTGGTATTTGCATGGGGATTAACTGCTTGGCTCTCATCTCAGTGCTTCTCGAACTGCTTGTAGAACAGGGTTTTTCTTCCGTAGCTTTGAAGATCAGAGCTAGTAGTTAAGTCATTTGTGACATTTCTTTCATATTATTGCCCATTTGGTGCTATCCCTCTAGCTTCATAACTATGAATCATTTTTGGCATTCTCATATAAACTTTTACCTTGGTTAGAAATTGATGAACTGGTTTCTGTCCATTATGGGAGATATGTGACACAGGTGACCGCTGTACTGGTTTGCTCCACTGCATTGAGTTTAACTGCTGAGGTACAACTTCAAGGTCCTTTCCGGCTCTCCCTTAATGGGATCCATCAGCCTCAAAACAGGTTTGGAGTGACAGCTCTTTAAATAGAGGATACTTACCATCAAGGTATTAGATACTCAGATAGCCTGTCAGTTTGAGGATCAACTCCTATAAAGTGGAATGTGTGATAAACTTTGAACAAACATTTCTATGTGGATAGAAATATCCCGAAAGTAAGGACTCATCTATCAGTGAAAGAAAAAGCACTTTCTGCTAGGGGATTGGGGGAAAACCTTGTCCTGTTTTTTGTCCTGGCTTTTGTTGGGG